AGTTAGAGCTCTTGGAGTTTAATATGTGGATGCCCTGGGGGGGGGGCATCATTCTGCCTGCCATAGTCATTCAGGTCAGCTCTCATGTTGTCTCAGCCCAGAGGCCTTTCCTGCCTCTGTTCCTCTCTGGTTCTTCACGCTGCTTCATTTTCTTTATTCCACTTAACGGGATCGATGTTACCTTGTTCTTTATTGGTTTCCATCTGCCTGTTGAATATAAATGCCATGAGGGCAGGGGCATTACCCGTCTAGTTCCTGCCTATCCTCCCAGAACCTACCTAGCACAACTCTGGGCAGTGGGCAGGTGCTCAGTGACCACATGAGGGAGTGATGAGCTGAAGGGGGCGGGAGTGGTGAGGACGTGGGTTGTGGCCACCTCCACCCGAAGGAGCTGGTGCGGAGCCATGGCCAGCCGCTTCCCATGCTGGTACCAGCTGTGCCACCCAGTCCCCGTGTTCTCCATCTCCTCTGAACGAGTGATTGTGATTATCTCGCTGGCCCTATAAAGTCCAGGCTTCTGTGGGTCATTTTAGAAAACGAGCTGATTGTTGTTCTATGAGGGAGAGAGTAGGGGCCTGGGAAGAACTCGAAAATGATTGAGAAAATCTCACAGCCACAAACAGGCATACTCTCTTGGGTCTGACATTTGTTGACAGATGATCTGGTTACCTCTTGTTCATTTCTCTGTGACTGCGGTTGCATCCATTGGCATCTGTCTGTGAAGATGCCCGTGTGAAGTGGGATTCTTGTATCTTCACCCACTGAGGTGTGTGCAAAGGGGCTCGGGACAGGGGCTTCTTTGTGGGACTGCTCCCCACTGGCCTCTGTTCACTCGTGCGCATGTGCCAGCCTCTGCACAGCTCTGCTTTACCCCTGTGACATCAGGCAAGTGACCGCCTCTCTCTGAGGCTTTAGTTTCCTTAGCTATAATAACACCCTCTTGGTGGGGCATGGTGGCTCATGCCTGTAATCCTAAGCACTTTGGAAGGCTGAGGCGGGTGGATTGCCTGAGCTCATGAGTTCCAGACCAGCCTGAGCCAGAGCGAGACTTTGTCTCTAAAAATAGCTGGGCATTGTGGCAGGCGCCTGTAGTCCCAGCTACTTGGGAGGCTGAGGCAAGAGAATCACTTGAACCTAAGAGTTTGAGGTTGCTGTGAGCTATGTGGCCACGGCACTCTACTGAGGGTGACAGAGTAAGACTCGGTCTCAAAACAAAGAAACAAAAAATACCCTCTCAGAGTTTCTGAGAGGCTTAGGGGATAGGATGGTTGTAAGGGTCCACAGGGCTTTTCTCCGTCCCCACCCAGGGAGGAATCTGGTTAGGTTAGAGAAGGACAGTCAATTCAGGAGGATATGCCATCCCCACTCTGGAGGACTTTGAAGATGGGCCAGGTTTTCTCTTGCCTCAGGTGAACTCCTGCAGGATTCGGGAACTTGCAGTGGTAGTCTCGACATGCAGTTAACCGTCGAGGATAAAAGAGTTTTTCAGCCAGGTGTAGTGACTCAGGCCTGTAATCCCAGCACTCCAGTGGGCTGAGAGAGGAGGATTGCCTGAGCGAGAGTGAGACTCCCTTTCTACTAAAAGTAGAAAAAAATTAGCTGGGCGTTGTGATGGATGCCTGTAGTTTCAGCTGCTCAGGAGGCTGAGGCAGGAGGATCACTTGAGCCCGAGAGTTTGAGATTGCTGTGAGCTATGATGAGGCCAGGGCACTCTACTAAGGGTGACACAGTGATGCTCTATCTCAAAAAAAACAAACAAGTTTTCACAGAATGTAGATAGTTTAACACTTACAGCTAACATTTATATCTCATTTCTTGTATGCCAGGCACTGTTCCAAGTGCTTCTGTGCAAATAACTCATCTAATCGGGCTGCGCCTGTGGCTTACTGAGTAGGGCACTGGCCCTATACACCCAGGGTGGCTGGTTCGAACCTAGCCCCGGCCAAACTGCAATTAAAAAAATAGCCAGGCATTGTGGCAGGCACTTGTAGTCCTAGCTACTCAGGAGGCTGAGGTAAGAGAATTGCCTAAGCCCAAGAGCTGGAGGTTGTTGTGAGCTGTGACTCCACAGCACTCTACTGAGGGGGACAAAGTGAGACTCTGTCTCTAAATAAATAACTAACTCATGGAATCCTCACAACAACCTCTGAGGCAAGCACTGTTGTCATCCTTCCCCAAATGATTAGCAAGTAAGAAGCAGAGACAGGATTTGAACTCAGGCCTCAAATCCCAAGATCTGGCCTCTGAACCACCACGTACACATGTTTTTATATCTGTGGGGAAAAAGTCTAGAAGATCAGACGCCAACATACAGTGGTTTCCTCGGGGGTCTTCCCGGAGGGATGATCATGGAGACTTCGATTTCCTTCTGTTCTTCCTCGTCTGGGGAGAGCCATGGACTCAGCAGGAGCCCTGGGTAGGGACTCACCCCACAAGATCTCTATCTTGTCTTGGCCCTGTTTAACAGGCGTGGTTAAATGCTGAAGGGTCAGTACTTTAAGGTTTGTCTCTTTTGTTTAAGGAAAGTGTCCAAACTGGAAGCCACCTCAGAGATTAATTCCTATGTCTCCTGCATTATGAGTGAGGAAGTTCAGCCCACATAGGGTCAGATCTGTGGCTGAGTTTCCAGTGCCACCCACCACCAGTGGCAGCTCTGGGCTTCTGTTTTTCCCATTACATCACGCTGCCTCCCAAGGGGAGGAGCGATGGTTGTCTTGGGGGTCGGGGGGAGTGTTCCTTCCTCTTCCCTCCACTCTTTGTACTGCGGGAAGCAGCTTCTGACCTGGCTGACTTCACTTCCCACTGACCGGGAGCCTGGTCTGGGGTTTCCAGTGACTAAAGTTGTAACTCAGGAACTTTCTATTCTCAGTGGGCCACTTCTGGAGGTTTTCTCTCTACAGGAAGCTGTTGCAAGCCTATTCTGTCCAGAGGGGAGGGACTTACGCAATCTGATCCCATTACTTCCTGCCTCTGAGATGATCTATGGTCCCCTGTGGCTCTAAGGATCAGGTCCAAACTCCAAAGCTCGGCATTCATTGGCAGGTCTTCATTGTACGGTCCTGGGCTCCATCTTTTGCCTCACCTTCCCCCCAAGTGGCCCACCTGTTTGTATTTTCTGGGCAGAAAATGGGGTTTGGGTGCCTCACCACAGTCTCTCGAGAGCTTGTCACAGGCTAGCGCACAGGAAGCCCCCGTGACACTTTACTGGATGAGTGAACGAATGACTTAATGGTCACATCCATTCCTGTGACGTGACTTCTGAAGTCCTGGAACTAACTAACACTTGATTACTTTATTCCTGGTTTTAAAGAATGCCTCTCTCACTTCACTAAACTCAATGGAATACCGACCTTTGCAAATGCCATTTGTGAAGAGCCATTACCCACTGAGAAAATGCTTATGCTATAATGTTAATAGGAGCAGGGTGTAAAATTTTGCCTACAGTCTGGCAACAACTATGTCCAAAGCCACATGTAGGTTGAGGGGAGTGCTTTTTGACCCCTAGTGGCCTTGGGAAGGGGGCCAGACACTGTAACTTTTTTCCTCCTGCATTTTCCGTGTTCTGATTAGACAACAGCCATTAATTTTATGGTTAAAAATGAAAAGGAAGAATGCACTTTTTTTATTCTTGCCAAGTAGCTCCCTGAAAATTTTGTTTAGTACTTCAGAATTGGCAAAGTGCTTTTGTATTCACAGCTGTCTTGATCCTTTTTTTTTGGCCGGGGCTGGGTTTGAACCCGCCACCTCTGACATATGGGGTCGGCGCCCTACTCCCTTGAGCCACAGGTGCTGCCCAAGAGGACAGTGGGGCATGGGTTTGTTCGTTCATTCATTTATATTATATATAATTACTGAGTTCCTCCCAGGACAGCTGGGGCTTAGCTAAGGAGGGTGAGATGCCCGGGGCAAAATTGAATGAGGTGCTTATTCTTTTTTTTTTTTTTTTGAGATAAGAGTCTCACTATGCCACCCGCTATAGAGTCCCGTGGCATCACAGCTCACAGCAACCTCCAACTTTGGGCTTAAGTGATTCTCTTGCCTCAGCCTCCCAAGTAGCTGGGACTACAGGCCCCCGTCACAACGCCCAGCTGTTTTGCAGTTGGTTTTGTTTGTTTTTTTTTTTTGGCCAGGGCTGAGTTTGAACCTACCACCTCCAGCATATGGGGCCAGCGCCTTACTCCTTTGAGCCACAGGCACCACCCTGTTATTGCTGTTTAGAAGACCCTAGGCCAGCCTTGAACCCACCAGCCTTGGTGTACGTGGCTGGCACCCTACTCACTGAGCTATGGGTGCTGAGCCGAGGTGTTTATTCTTTCATTTCTTTTATTTATTTATTTATTTATTTTAGAGACAGAGTCTCACTTTTTCGCCCTCCATAGAGTGCTGTGGCATCACAGCTCACAGCAACCTGCAGCTCTTGGGCTTAGGCAATTCTCTTGCCTCAGCCTCCCGAGTAGCTGGGACTGCAGGCGCCCGCCACAATGCCTGGCTATGAGGTGTTTATTCTTGAAGCCTTGCAAGTGCAGGATGGACCCTCCAAGTGATCCCTCCTCACGTTTTGCTCCCCAAGTACCTTACTTGCCTGGCCCATGTGCTGGCTCTGCCCCTGCTCACAGCCAGCCACTGTTCTTGGTTCTGGGGCTGTGACAGTGAATGAAATAGAATAAAACCCCTTTCCTACATGGGGTTTGCCATTCTAGAAGAGGAGGCAGGCAGAGCTCCGTTACACACTAGGACACCCACTGGGGAAGTGACTGGCTGTAGCAAAGAAGTAGTAAAGCTCAAGGTTTGCCCTCTGGTCCTGTGGCCTTGTGTGGCAGCTAAGCTGATATTACAGTGGTGTGTTAGAACTTGGAGGCCCCCTGTGGATCTCAGCTAACTGTGGTATAGGGTGAGTGGGGAGGGTGTCCTAGACAAAGCTGGGCTATCGTGGGGATGCTCTCCTTCCTGGAGGGACAGCCTCTCTGACTCTAAGCACAGCCCTCTCCCTTGCCCTCCAGCCTCCTACGTGATCACAGATCTGACCCAGCTACGGAGAATCAAGTCCTTGGAGCGGGTGCAGGGTGCAAGCATCACACGGGAGCTGCTGTGGTGGTGGGGCATGCGGCAAGCCACTGTCCAGCAGCTCGTGGACCTCCTGTGCCACTTGGAGCTCTACCGAGCCGCCCAGATCATCCTCAACTGTGAGTAACTCTGTGGGCCCTCCTTGGTGGGAGATGTCATGCTCCTAAGCTGTTTGGGTGTGAGCTGCACTCTCTAGCCCTAAAACCTTTTTTACTCTTTTAACTTCTAAAAAAATTTTAATGAGTAAGTTTCCTGTGCACCTAAAAACCAGTAACAGGGCTTGGTGCCTGTAGCCCAGGAGTTGGAGGTTGCTGTGAGCTGTGATGCCATGACACTCTACCCAGGGTGACAGCTTAAGGTTCTGTCTCAAAAAAAAAAATCCAAAAAATACAACTGGTAACAGCAGTTACCTGTGGGAAGAGGAATTGGGTGGCTAGGGAATAAGACACTGGGGGGAGACTTTACTATAAATTCCTTCATACCTTTTAAATTTGGGTTATCGGGAATATTTACTCAGGGCAAGTTGAATCTATGTTGCTGGGCATTCATCCTCAAGATTTGGGCTCGAATAAACTTTATGCTTAATTAAATAACAACCCCCCCCAATTTTTAATATTGTAAAGCTTTTTTTTTGGAGAAACAAACAAAATAACCTAGTTTGGCGCTTGTAGCTCACTGGTTGAGGCATCAGCCACATACACCAGGGCTAGTGGGTTCGAACCCAGCCTGGCCTGCTAAACAACAACGTGACAACTATAACACAAAAAATAGCCGGGCGTTGTGGGTGGCGCCTGTGGTCCCAGCTACTTGGGGGGCTGAGGCAAGAGAATCACTTAAGCCCAAGAGTTAGACGTCGCTATGAGCTGTGATGCCCCGGCACTCTACTGAGGGCAAAATAGTGAGACTCTATGTCAAACAAAACAAAACAAAACACCCAAACATGAGTTATCTATTACAAAAATAATAATTAAAAAAAATCCCAATAGCTATAGTATAAAAAATTCAACAAAGCCTATAGTAAAATTGACGCACATCGTCATCCTGTTTCACTGTTTTTCATCCCAAGAAGTAAAGACTGTCGGCAATCTCTGGGTTTTACGAGAAGCTTTCTTTGCATGAGTAAGCATACCGTGCATCTGCAGCCTCTCCCCTGTGAGACAGAGTCTCACTCTCTTGCTTGGGGTTGAGTGTAGTGGCGCCATGCCTCACAACAACCTCAAACTCCTGAGCTCAAGTGATCCTCCTACCTCAGCCTCCAAAAGGGCTAGGCTGTTCTTCACATTGTGAGAGAATTAATGACAAACAATGAGTCTCTAAGGTGGCAAGGAGGGGCTGCCAGAGAGAGAGGGGAGGAGCCGTTGGCTCTAGTGCAGTCAGGAGCTAGGGGCAGAGGCTCGGGGCAGAGGCTCGGGGCAGGGGCTCCAGCCCGGTCCACTTTGGAGAAGTGGAGAGTGTCAGACACTAGTTTTGCCCCTGCAGAGTGAGCTAAGATGTTGCAGGGGTGTCCTAACACGTGAAAACAGAGAAGCACCAGGCATTGAGACACTGGCCTCTTGTTGGGCACAGTCTCACTATTGACGTCAGAACTGACTGGTGACTAATCTCTTTTTTTTTTTTTTTTTTTTTGAGACAGAGTCTCCCTTTGTCACCCTTGGTAGAATGCCGTGGTATTACAGCTCATAGTAACCTCAAACTCTAGGGCTTAGGCAATTCTCTTGCATCATCCTCCCGAGTAGCTGGGACTACAGGCGCCCACCACAGTGCCCGGCTATTTTTTGTCGCAGTTTGGCCAGGGCAGCCACCCTTGGTATATGGGGCTGGCACCCTACCCACTGAGCCACAGGCACTGATCTGGTGACTAATCTCAAACAGACTCTTAACTTAAGGTCAACAAACAATACAGTACAAGATTTAAAGAAATACTCTCATCTCAGTGTGACACCTTCTTTTTTTTTTTTGAGACAGAGCCTCAAGCTGTCCCCCTGGGTAGAGTGCTCTGGCATTACAGCTCACAGCAACCTCCAACTCCTGGGCTCAAGCGAGTCTTCTGCCTCGGCCTCCCAAGTAGCTGGGACCACAGGCGCCCGCCACAACGCCCGGCTATTTTTTGGTTGCAGCCGTCATTGTTGTTTGGCGGGTCCGGGCTGGGGATTCGAACCCGCCACCTTAGGTGTACGTGGCTGGCGCCTTAGCCGGTTGAGCTATAGGTGCCGAGCCGTGACACCTTCTTTAAGTGTTCCTTTAAAGAAGGTGTCACACTTGTTTTTTTTTTTTTTGTTCTTTTTTTTTAAGAAACAGGGTTCTGCTTTATCATCCAAGCTAGAGTGCAGTGACATCATATCTCATTGCAACCTCAAACTCCTGGGCTCAAGTGGACCTCTCACCTTGGCTTCTCAAGTTCCATTAGTTGGGACCACCGGTGGGCACGACCATGCCCAGCTAATTTCTAAAATTTTTTGTAGAGATGGGGTCTTGCCATGTTTCCCAACTCCTGGCCTCAAGTGATCCTCCCACCTCAGCATCCCAGAATGCTGGGATGACAGAAGTAAGCACTGCCTGAGTCCTCTGCAGGTGCTAAGACTTCTGCTGAGTGCTCCATTCCCCCAACAGCCTCTGGAGGGTGTGCTCTAAGGATTCACTTCCCTACCTGAGGAACCAGGTCATAGGGTCAGGTGTGGTGGGTCACACCTGTAATCCTAGCACGCTGGGAGGCCAACACAGGTGTATTGCTTGAGCTCAGAAATTCTTTTTTTTGAGACAGAGAGACAGAGTCTCACTATGTCACCCTCAGTAGAGTACTGTGGCGTCACAGCTCACAGCAATCTCAAACTCTTAGGCATAGGTGATTCTCTTGCCTCAGCCTTGGGACTACAAGGCTGCCACAAGACCCAGCTATTTCTTTTTTTTGTTTTGTAGAGACAGAGTCTCGCTTTGTTGCCCTTGGTAGAGTGCCGTGGCGTCACACAGCTCACAGCAACCTCCAACTCCTGGGCTTAAGTGATTCTCTTGCCTCAGCCTCCCATGTAGCTGGGACTACAGGCACCTACCACAACGCCCAGCTATTTTTTGGTTGCAGTTCGGCCAGGGCTGGGTTTGAACCTGCCACCCTGAGCTCAAGAATTCAAGACCAGTCTGAGCAAGAGCTGAGACCCCATCTCTACTAAAAATGGAAAACCTAGCCCAGCATCCAGGCAGGTGCCTGTAGTACCAACTACTTGGGAGGCTGAGGCAGGAGGACCGCTTCAGCCTAGGAGTTTGAGGTTGCTGTGAGCCATGACGCATTCTACCCAAGGCAACAAAGTGAGACTCTGTCTGAAAAAGAAAAAAAAGAAAAAGGAACTAGGTCATCGATGGCTAAGGGACTTGCCCAGGGGCCCATGTCTAGTGCTAGGGATATGATGGCGGTCACATCTATGTGTGTCTGGATCCGGAGCCCTGGTGCATGGTGTTCATATTGGGACCTCAACTGCATAAATTGCTACTGAGCACAGTCTATGGGATTCCAAGAAACTAGTGCTGCTGCCTGTCAGCTTGTGTCCTGCTTAGAACTTGGCTCAGATGCAGCTCTCCTGTTCCCACCACCCTACCCTTCTCTCTTGTTCACTGAACTTCTTCTCTTCCCCTTAGCCCTGTTGATCAAAATTGCTGGAGGAAGAGAAATTAAGGCTGGTTTTCACATCCACAAATCCCCTGGTTCTTACTGTGTTTGTGAGATCTAGTTGTGTTTTACTATTGGTTTGAGTTCTCAGGCAAGGCACTTCTCCTTTCTGTAGCTTATGTGTTTTTTTTTGTTTTGCTTTGGGGTCTCACTCTGACCCCAGGCTAGAGTACCGTGGGTCATCATAGTTCACTGCAACCTCAGACTCCTGGGCTCAAGCAGTCCTCCTGTCTCAGCTTCCCAAGTAGATGGGACTACAGGCGTCCACCATGATGTCGGGCTAATTTTTGTACTTTTTGTAAGGACAGGTCTCTCTCTTGCTGCTCTTGAACTCCTGACCTCAAGCGATTTTCCTGCTTCAGCCTCCCAGAGTGCTAGGATTACAGGCATGAGCTACCATGCCTGGCTTTTTTTTTTTATTATTGAGGAAAAAAAGTGCTATAAATCCCTTGGAGGGATATATACTTGGAGGTGACTTGGAGGTGACTATAGAGGGTATGTGAGACATATTTATCATTGCAACTAGTCAAGTCTCTTCCCTTCCCTAGTTGTAACATCAGGTAAACGTTATTTTGCATTTACTTGTCTAAAATCCTTTATTTACTTGCTTAGCTGCCTCTGGCAGTTTGAGCACCTGACTTCTTCTACTACTTCTTAAATTGCTTTCAAAAACAGATTCGAGGGCTCGGCGCCTGTGGCTCAAGCAGCTAAGGCACCAGCCACATACACCTAAGGTGGCGGGTTCGAATCCAGCCCAGACCTGCCAAACAACAATAATGGCTGCAACCAAAAAATAGCCGGACGTTGTGGCG